GTCTCTTGCTCCCTGGTTCTCAGTGTTTCACAGTCTCTTGAATCTGGTTCCCAGTGGATCACAGTCTCTTGCTCACTGTGTAACCCCAGGATTTATCCTGCTACAGCTGGGACAGGCTGGCACCTGGCATCTGTAACTGCCCAGCTAAAGCTGGGTAATCCTCACCCAGCATCGACGGCCGTGGCTGGAGCTTCGACTTTGACAGCCCAGGCTAGGTGTAAAAATCACTGTAATTCCACTTTTGGGGAGTTGAATATTGCTGGGGAAGGGACAAAAGGAGCAGTGGCAGGATGCTGGTGCAGGAGGAGGGAGCATCCATGTTGGGTGCCTTTAACTGCTTGGTCTCATTTGATGCATTTTTACAGGCAAGCAGAGGATGTGAGGTGGAGCTTGCTCTGGGGTAGGGAGAAAATGTGGTTCTCAAAAGGAGGGAAAAGTGCTGATTAATAAGTGTTGGGAATGAAAATCTAGATACTCATTGGTGGTGGACTGGCCTGGTTCTGAGCCCTGTGTGGCTCCAGGGGCTGTTGGCTCATCTTGTGGCCTTGCATTGTTTAGGTCAAGGCAGGTAAATCAGGTTTAATTTGACCTTCAGCAGGTTCCTGCCTGCTGGAAACTCATCTTTTATTGAAAAAAATACAAAACAAAAAGCCAAACCAAACCAAAGAAAAAAACACCCCAAAAACCAAAAATCAACCAACCAAAGGAAAAAAAAAACCTACCAAAAAAAACCCTACTGGAAAAGAAAAACCCACCAAAAAAAAACCCAAAAAACCCCCAAAAAACCAACCAAACCACAAAAGCTTTTCTGGATCAGTGTGTGAGCTCTGGGAAAGGGAAAGGGGATCCTTCAGATCATCTTCACACTTTTGGAGGCACAGAATGCTCTTTGGGAAGGAGGAAGGATTGTCCCTAAGGAATCTGCTTTGTCTCATCTTCCTCTTCCCCTCTGTCTTTTAGTAAATGTCTCTGTTTTGGTTGAGTGAAATATTCTGCTTTTATTCTATTATTTTATTCTTTTCTTCCATTCAGTATTTCATAGGAGAGGATTGTTTTAGGGATTCCCAGGCTGGAGCAGGCAGGAATGTGTCTGAGCCAAACAACCTTCCTCTGGCATCAGCAGGCACCAGCTGCTTGGGAGGAAAGTGCTTGAAACCCTACAATTATGGGATAATGTATTCCAAGAGAGTTTCTTGGCTTTCCATTCCTGGGCTGGAGAGTTTATATTCCCTCCCTGATCCTTGTGAAATGTTGCTGAACTTGGATGTTCTTGTCACCTGCTCCTCGATGGGGACAATCCCACAGCAGCAACTGGCAGGGCTTGGGGCTGGGCAGGAGGGAAAAAAAGCCACATTTTCTGGCATTTGCTTCCAATTTTGTGACTCTTCTTTGGCAGAGGAATCTTTGAAAAGATCTGGAGGGGGCACGGCCTTCCACAGCCACTTATAGAGCCAATGGAAAAGCGATGGGGAATTAACAATATAACCTGAATTGTTTAAGGGAATTAGGCACAAAATTCATTCAGTAACATTGGTAAATCCTGCAGGGCACTGTCAGGATCCAGAGCAGTTTTCCTCCTGCTGGGGCCTGGCCAGAAGGTGCAGAAATTGTCCCCTCTGGCTGGGGACAGCTTTGAGGGCTTGGGACTAGAGAGGGACATGGAGGACAGGTGGCCCTGGGCCACCACATACCCCACAATTTTACAGACAAACTCCAGTCCTGGGAGATTTTTTTCTCTTCTTCCCCTTTGTTTTGCCTTCAAAAAACCCCGCTAACAAATACACACACAAATTTTTCGCCTTTTTCATAAAAAAAAAAATCTTTCTTTCCAACATCCACCCATGTGCAGGAGCAGGGCTGGCTCTTTCTGGAGGCAGAGCTTTCCCACGGAGCTGTGCATTTCTGGATGCTCTTTGCTGGAGAAAATCTCAGATTTTTGGAGGGGATGAAGCCTGTCCAGCCCCTCTGCCCAGCCTGGCCGAGGCTCTGACAATTGTCCCCTCTGGCTGGGGACAGCTTTGAGGGCTTGGGACTGGAGAGGGACACAGAGGACAGGTGGCCCTGGGCCACCACCCAGCCCACAATTTTACAGACAAACTCCAGTCCTGGGAGATTTTTTTCTCTTCTTTCCCTTCGTTTTGCCTTCAAAAAACCCCGCTAACAAATACACACACATATTTTTCTCCTTTTTCATTAAAAAACCCATCTTTCTTTCCAACATCCACCCATGTGCAGGAGCAGGGCTGGCTCTTTCTGGAGGCAGAGCTTTCCCACAGAGCTGTGCATTTCTGGATGTTCTTTGCTGGAGAAAATCTCTGATTTTTGGAGGGGATGAAGCCTGTCCAGCCCCTCTGCCCAGCCTGGCCGAGGCTCTGACAATTGTCCCCTCTGGCTGGGGACAGCTTTGAGGGCTTGGGACTGGAGAGGGACACGGAGGACAGGTGGCCCTGGGCCACCACCCCACCCCACAATTTTACAGACAAACTCCAGTCCTGGGAGATTTTTTTCTCTTCTTTCCCTTTGTTTTGCCTTCAAAAAACCCCGCTAACAAATAACACACACAAATTTTTCTCCTTTTTCATAAAACAAAAATCTTTCTTTCCAACATCCACCCATGTGCAGGAGCAGGGCTGGCTCTTTCTGGAGGCAGAGCTTTCCCACGGAGCTGTGCATTTCTGGATGCTCTTTGCTGGAGAAAATCTCAGATTTTTGGAGGGGATGAAGCCTGTCCAGCCCCTCTGCCCAGCCTGGCCGAGGCTCTGACAGGATGGGGACAAGCTGGCAGCGATTCTGGAGTGAAAGCAGCCTGCCTCCCTCCTCTGGTGCGAGGGATGGCCACGGAGCAGGTTGCCATGGAGAACGGGGATTATTCTGCGCGTGTGTGTGTGTATGTGTGTACAGGCTGGGGGGGAATATCGTAGGTTTCTTTTTTTGTTGTTGTTTTTTGTTGGTTTTTTTCCCTCAAAAACCCCATTTCTGATGCCGTCAGCGGCCGTGCTCAGCCGACCTTGGGAGCTACAACCTCCAACCCCATCCCCATCCCCTCCTCCCCTGCTGCTGCTGCCCCAGCCCCTCCATCGGACTCTTATCTCCAATAATCCCCCCTAAGAGGGCTTTCTGCTTGTTATGACACCCAGTGAAAGCGTGGGAGAAAGATCCTTTCTTCGCCCTTGTCCTCCACAGCCAGCCACTAGCCTGAATGGGAGGCTTTTTTGTGTCTCTGTGTGCCTGACTAATTGAGCTGAAGGACTTGCGTCTGGAAGGGCTTGAAAGGGACTTTTGTTGCCGCTGTGGAGTTTGTGGAAGGAGAACGAGCTCTGCTTTCTTAGGGAACGCGGCTCCTGGGCAAATTTGACTCTCGAGTGCTCACGCCTCCCAGTTCTTTGGGAAAATAAGAAAAAAAAAAGGATGGTGGGATTGGATTTTTTTTTGTGTTTTGGATTTTTTTTGTGTTTTGGATTTTTTTTTGTGTTGCGTGTGGGGTTTTTTTGGGGGTGATTTTTTTTTTTTTTTTTCTTCAGCGCTATTGGTGCTGGAGAATTGAGTCTGGCCAAAAAAAAATTAAAAAAAAAATAAAAACCAGCCCAGCCCTGAAAGGTTGGTGAGCTGGCTGTAAAAAAAAAAAAAAGGGCTTGGTGAGATGAGTTCAAACTGGCTAAAAATAACAGTATCAGAAGCCCTCCAAAAATAACAGTATCGAGAGCTCTTGCCTCCAAAAATAACAGTATCGAGAGCCTGCGCCTCCTGCAGCTTTTGAAGCCTCATAATCCAACCCCAAATCTTCTCCAGGATTCCATGGGAAATTCCTTTGTGGTCCAAGGATGCTTTCACATCCCGCTGCTTCCTGAGAGGAGATGAGCACCGGCCATCACAAGGGAGTTTAAGTGGAGAGGAGATGAGCACCGGCCATCACAAGGGAGTTTAAGTGGCGGCTGCAAAATTCCTCTTTTCCTCTCGGCCTTTACAGGAGTGCTGAAAAGTCGGGATTCTGCCTTAAATTGGTGATGCCCAGGTGGATCCCCTGCACCAGTGGCAGTGTGGGCATCAGGAAGGGATTTTTCTTCTACCTGTGACAGCCCCAACCTTTTATCTTCCCTAAAGCACCCAACATCGTCCTTGGTAGGAGAACCAAGAGGTTTTTCCGTAGCAATTTGGGAATTTAAAGGCTCTTTGCCACTGGGAATTTTGGTCTGGGGCACCTGGATTGTCTTCTCTGTTGGTATCTCCTGCTGCACTTTTGTTCCCATCATGAGAATTTGGTGTTTCCACGTGTCCAGGAGATTTTCTTGTTGTCTTTGCTAACTTTTCTTGATACTGAATTAATTCAAAGACCTTCTCCAGCCTGTCTGTTCCCCATGGTGTGGCTGTGCAAAACCTACTGCTAAGTGTCTTTCCTGCAGAACACCCTCTGGCAAGGAGGGAACGTGGGGTTTGGGAGGAAAAAATGGCTTTTGAGGTGCAAAACTTCTTGGCATGTGGCAAAGAAGGTTTTTGAAGAGGCTGGAGCGAGAAATGGGGAAGAAAGTGGTTTTATGAGGTCACTTTGCTCCTGTTGCTTATTTCCCACGAGATGTGCAGCCCCTGCACCTTGTTGAGAAACCACTTGAAATTATTGTCCAAAATATATTTTCAATAAATATATTTCCACTGTGATTTCTCAATACCTCCCCTTACCCCTTCTTCCTTTATTCTACAGATCTTGCAGATCCCTCCACACAAAAAAATTACTGTAGAAGCTGCCAGGGTCCATTCCATCCCCATCTCACGGGGTGTGTTATTGATTTCTAATGACAAGGGGTTAAAATGTATTGAAAATTGTATTTTTAAGTGAGTCATGTAGAGGCTGCAAATGCCCAGGGCACCTCTTTTTCCACCCTGCACCCAAAGGTTGCAGTTGGGTGTCTTCAGGAGTTTTCCAGGGCCAAAGAGGTGCATCAAGGATGGGGGGAAAACCAGAACAAAGGGGTTTGAAACAGATGTAGACATGAGTGGTGAAATTTGATAGAGAGGGAGGGTGAAGGCAAAGAGAGCTGAATGAACAGGATGCTTTCTATGCAAAAAAAAACCCCTATCAAAAATGCAAAAATCGCTTTTGGAGATAGAGACAAACCCGTTTTCACATGACTCCACTTGGAGTTTTTAAATCCAGCAATTTCTGCACTGCTTCCTACCAACACTGTGCTAAACTCAACCTTGGTTTTGTGTCCTGCAGCCCGAGCCCTGTCCTGCAGCAGATCCTGGGATGCCCATGACACCAGGTATGTGTTAATGCATCCTCACTCCTTCCTGGGCCAGGAAATGACAATTTCTGGGTGTTTGGGCGCTCATCAGGCAGCATCTGAGGAGTTTGTGCTGTCAGCTCCACGCCAGGATAATTCAGTGTTGGTCATTAGTGATGAGCAGCTCCCGGGCACGCTTGGGCATTGCTGCACCCCCAGCGTCCTCCAGCCCTTTTTATATTTTTATATATATATACATTTTTTTTTTTTTGGTGTGTGTGTTTGTTTGTTAGCTATTTTTAAATATACGCTTTCCAATAACTAATTAAAAAATGAGAAAAATCACCCAATTCCACTTTTGGAATAATGTGTGAACTTGGAAATTGGGGCTTGGAGTCAAAACAAGATGAGGGGAGCAGAGCAAGGCTCCTGCTCCAGTGGGTTTGAGGTCAGAAGATGTAAAGAAATCCAAATTACTAGTGCCTTTAAAAAAAAAAATCTTTTTCTATTTTTAAATGTTTTTTTTAATTTTATTTTTAGTAGGGAAAGGGGTTTGCCAAAGTGCACACCTCAAGTGTATTTTACCCTCTGTGGAGGCCTTATTATGCTGGAACCAGCTTAATGAAATAAAAGAGTTTATTTTTTTTACAACTGACCAATAGTTCACTTGTGCATTTCAGAGCACAGCAAAGTGACTCTAAACCAAAAATTTTTATGGTGTCTCAAACCAAACCCCTAAAATTTGGCAAATTCTTGTCCTTGCACAGATTATTGCTGCTGCACTTAATACCTTGCAGCTCAAATAACAAGAGATTTTGAACAGATTGGGAAAAAAGATTAAATGTAAAAGGAGATATAGAAAAGAACAGAAAAATCAGGAGGTTTTGGAACAGATAAGGAATAATTCTCGGACAAAACACAGCAATAATCCCAAAGGGCTTTATTACTGTGAATCAATACAACGTTGCTATAAAATATTTAGAATTCTACCCTGCATCTATTTCTCTGTAATATTCATAATTTCTGCAATCCCAAAAATCAGTGAGCACGAGGTCACTTCCTGGAATTTCCTTGTTTCAGCTCCCAGCACTGGGGCCTTCTCATCTTTGGGGCAGGGATCAGGAATCGGGATTTTTACAAAGCTCTGGAGGAGTGGGGCACTGATGCCACACAGGTTTTGAATGCACTGTGGGCATGCCAGGATGCTGGACAGGCCACAGGGATGTGAATTTGGACCCCAGTGCCACCACTGCCACCCTCTGCTCCTCCCTCCTTCTGTCTCTCCCTGGAGGACCACGGGCTCGCCCAGCACTGGGGGAAATCAGAATTTAATTTTTTTCCTCAATGAAAACGCTGGGAAAAAAAAAAAATAAAAAGGGAGAAGAATGGAATCTTGGTGCATTTTGTGACTTTGCTCCCAGCAGAAGAAGAGCCAGGGGCTCCAAGGCCAGCACAGTGAGCGGGTTTGATGTGAGCAGCCAAACCCTTGTGGCTGCCAGGACCCTTCTCTGCTGCACCACCGGAGGGTTTCACCTCCTGCCAAGAGCGGCCTGCTCCTCTTCTTTCCCTTCCCTTCCTTTTCTTTTCTATCCTTTCCTTTATTTCTTACCTAATATTTATTTAATTTTATTTTTCAATTTAATTTTGAATTTTCCTTTTTCTTAATTTTCCTTTTTATTTTCCTTTTTACTTTCCTTTTATTTTCCTTTTAATTTTTCTTTCAATTTTCCTTTTAATTTTCCTTTTAATTTTCCTTTTAATTTTCCTTTTTAATATTTCATTTCCCTTTCATTTTATTTTTCCTTTTTTTGTTGTTGTTGTGGTTTTCCTATTTTTTTCCCTTTGTTTTCTTTTCCCATTTTAATATCCATTTTTCCCCCCAATTTCTCGCCTAAGCCTGCTTTGTCTTGTCTCCTGCCGGAACGTTTAACGAAGGGCCAGCCGCTCCCACGCCAGTAGGGTTTTTTTTTATTGTTGTTGTTGGTATTTTCCTGGTGCTTTGTTCCACCCTCCCCACCTCGGTGCCCATCGAGGGGTGCGGGTCGGGGTGCCCACCATGGATGGGGAAGCACAAAGCCCCAAGGAAGACACGAGGGCTCTTGTTATCCTGGCCGTGCAGGAAAGAGTTAACCCATTAGAAATTCCAAGCCCTTCTTCCGATAGTTAAACCTGATTTGCATGCATTTGCATAATGAATGTCATTTGCATTCTTGGAGGTTGGCTACTTCTGTGGGAAAAGTCAAAGCGGGATTGCGGGGAGGGTGAAGGGGGGTCGGTGAAGAAAGAAGGGAAGATTTTTTTTCCCCGCACCCCCACGCATCCCTGCCCCTCACCATCCTCACCCAAACGCTCTTTTCCTTCCCCTCTTTCCCCCCATTTTCCCCCCTCGAGGCCTTCCTCCCTTCTCCCTTCCGCAGGACACAAAGGCAGCCATCGCTGCCTAGGCCGTGCCGAGGCCAGGCGCATCCTCTCCCGCTTGCCCCCCTTCCCCTCCTTTAATTTCTGCCTCTAATTCCATCTTGGCTCCCGTTCCCGGCGCCCTCGCGAGCGGGGGGCTGCGGCCCCGGCCCTCCCCTCCCCGTGGGTGCATGCGTGCTGAGGGGAAGGCAAGGTGGGAGCCACCATTTTAGGCAGCTGCTGTGTAAAATGGCCGATTCCCCTCAGCCGGGCCCAGCCACGCGGGCGGGAGCGTTCCGGTGGCTTCCGTCGCGTTCTGGCGGCTTCTGTGGGATGGGACGGAGCTGCTTGTGGTGATTCAAGTGCCGTGACCTCGCCATGGGGCCTTCAGCCTCGAGGGGCTCATCCCGGCCTCAAGGGGCTCATCCCGGGGCCTTCAGCCTTGAGGGGCTCATCCCGGCCTCAAGGGGCTCGTCCTGGCCTCTTCCCGGGGCCTTCAGCCTTGAGGGGCTCATCCCGGCCTTGCTGTGGGGTCTTCGGCCTCGAGGGGCTCATCCCGATCTTTGGCCTCAAGGGGCTCATCCCGGCCTCACCACGGGCCCTTTGGCTTTGAGGGGCTCATCCCGGCCTCAAGGGGCTCATCCTGGCCTCACCACGGGGCCTTTGGCTTTGAGGGGCTCATCCCGGCCTCAAGGGGCTCATCCTGGCCTCACCACAGGGCCTTTGGCTTTGAGGGGCTCATCCCGGCCTCACCACGGGCCCTTTGGCTTTGAGGGGCTCATCCCGGCCTCAAGGGGCTCATCCCGGCCTCACCACGGGGCCTTTGGCTTTGAGGGGCTCATCCCAGCATCAAGGGGCTCATCCTGGCCTCACCATGGGGTCTTCGGCCTCAAGGGGCTCATCCTGGTCTTGCTGCGGGGCCTTCGGCCTCGAGGGGGTTCATCCTGCTCTTCAGCCTTGAAGGACTCATCCCAACCTTGCCATGGGGCCTTCGGCCTCAAGGGGCTCATCCCAGGCCTCACTGTGGGCCTTCAGCCTTGAGGGGCTCATCCCAGCCTTGAGGGGCTCATCCTGGCCTCACCATGGGGTCTTCGGCCTCAAGGGACTCATCCTGGTCTTCATCCCCAGGGGGCTCATCCCAGTCTTCAGCCTCGAGGGGCTCATCCCGGCCTCACTGGGATTTGGGATTTCCCTCTCCCCACCATCACCGGGGTGTCGCAGCCACAAAACCTCCCAGCCAACCCACACCCCAAAATCAGTCTCTTTTTACCTCGTCTCCAGATTTTGCACCACCCAAGGCAGCTCTATCATCTTTTTTTGCCGTATTTTACAAAAATTATTGCTCAAAATACCCTCTGTGCCTCCCTCAGGGGCTTGAGGCTTGGCTGCAGAATTTTTTCCTAGATGCACTAGATGATGTTTCATTCTTTGTGTACTGTGATAACATTAGCAAAACAGCTGTTTAATTATTTTTTTTTTACCCCTCCTCCTTCTTTTGGACTAGAAAAATTCAATAGTCTCGTTTTTTCTGTTACTGAAACCATTTCATGGCTGTTTAAGAAAGGGGGGAAGAATAAATGTGAAAGAAGAGTGACTTCATCCTCTCCTGCCATCCTGGGCTGAGGCTTCACCTGGTCCAAGTGATCTATGGGCACAAAGTTATTGTGTTAATCTCAAAGAAGGGAAAAAAATCTCTTCACACAACTGGTGGGAAGTGATTAATTTTATTACAGCACCTGAAATATATTGGGGTGTTTTATCTGAAGCCCCATTTCAAGAGGTTTGTGGTTGAGGTGAAAATCTTGGTGTTCCATGAGGCCGCGTTTGTTGTTCTTTTTAATTTCTCCCCATCCCTCTGTTGCCATGAGACCTGGAAACTTAAAAGCCTAAATATGCTAAGTGAGTTTAACCCTGGTGTGACGGGAATTTTGAAAGCAGATTAAAACCAACTCAAAATTTATCCCTAGAAGAAAAATAAATCCCATTTTTTTTTGCTTGCGGGCTGATGCCGCAGTCCCAGACACACCTGGCTGGGGGCAGCCCCGTGGGGGGGAACGTGGCTGGGCTTGGCTCAAGCCTGGTCCCTGGTGGGGTCTGTGGGGTGGCAGGGGCTGGGGAAGGGGGGATGTCACTGCTGTGTCCCTTTAGCTGGAGCTGGGAAGGGCCACGCGCTCCACTCCGCCTGCCAAACGTGCTTAGTCAGGAATGGGAAACACTTCCCTAAAACTTGCAAAAATGCTCTAAGGCTCTTAGCTCTTGGGCTAAGCTGCAGCTACTTAGTCCACTTCTCACTGCTTTTATTTATAAACTTCAGGCTGTGCTGGGGGATTTTTTTTTTCCCCTTTTTTCTGGTTCTTTCCCTGGGATGGGGCACAGGAATGTGGTGGAAGCAGAGCTGGAAGGAGAGGATGGGTCTGGGCATTGCTGCTCTGCTTCCACCAGTGCCACTCACTGGCTTGGCACCACTGGATTCCCACAGGATCAGATTGTCTCTGATTTCAGTAGAGTTAGAGGTGATTTATGGGACTAATGGCCAGCAGAACAGGCTCCTTCTCTGGACCTTCCTCAGTTAAACCACGTCAGTTCTGCACTGGGAATCTAAATCCATGTGTAACCTGTGAGTAGCCATAGCTGGAGGCAGAGAAATCTCAAATTAGCCAACCAAAACCACTACACAGAGTTTATACACATGGAAAGTACAGAAAGTGAAGATTAATATATTATTAAAATATAAACCAGTTCTATAAGGACACTCCAAAGCATCTAAAAAGTGTCAGGGCTGCTCACTTTTGGTATTTTCAAGCAGGGATGAGCAGTGCTGGAGCTTTGCCACTTGGTTCCTGCTGCATTGAGGGTGGCAGTCACAGAATGCATCCTGAGAGGCTCCTCCTTTGGTCCAGGGCTCTTCCCTCAAATGGAACCAAAGTGCTCAGGACAGCCAGGATAAATCCCCCCAGCCTCAGGGGGCTCTGGGCTCGGGTTTGGCTTTGGGCCTTGGTGCAGCAATCACTGCCCTGGGCAGGGAGGGAGACCTGGAGAGCACAGCTCCCCATAAGACAAAAAAAAAGAATAAAGAAAGTGGATTTTTTTTACTTAGATTTAGAGTTTTTGGTCCTACTTGTGGCTTTTGAGTACCAGGAGTTGGTTTTGCTACACGATGAAGTGAGATGCTGGCTGGCACCACAGCTGGCAGGGACAGGGAATTAAATTTCACATTTAATTTCAAATTTCATTTCATTTCAAGCAGCCATTTCAAATTGCCTCAGAGCAGACCCCAGCTCCTCTTGCTCCTTACAAGGCTAAGGCCCCACAGAGGCATCTCAAGTTAGGAAACCAGCCCAGTTTCAAAGATGCTGAGAGTTTTCCAGGCAAATTCTCTCTTCCTCATTCCCCTTTTGTGTCAGAAGTGTGGCTGTAATCTCCCTGTCCTGGTGTAATCCAGCCAGAGAAGATGAGGCTGACATTTAACATCCTCTTTTCTCTCTCTTGCCAGGCTGGACATGGGTTCACCCAACCTGCTGCTCATTTTCTGGCTGACAAATTGTCTCTGGCCCTGGTGGGAGTTCATGGGAACATCCTGGTAAGGGGATTTTTAAAAAATTTGGATTTTTTTTTAAAAGACTTTCCCTAAATTTACACTGGGTCTGGTATCAGCAGACTACTGGGATGGGCTTGTCTCCATGGCAAGTGTTTGGGCACTGGTGAGAGCTCCTGGTGGGGAAAAAGAGGAGCCAAAATCTCTGTGGTCACCAGCACCTTCCTTGCTGATCATTTGGCCCAAAGTATCAAACATCTGGATTTTTTTCTGTGTTTAACATCTTTTTTTTTTGTGGGTTTGTTAACTGGTAATGCCCAAGCCTTGGGAGAGGTGTCTGTCTCATCCACAGGAACAAATAAAAACAGGGGAGGGGGATTTCCTGTTAAATAGAAAGGGGATAATAAAGTTGTTTCTCTTGTGTTTGGTTTTAGCTCAGATTGGCTCTTAATTACATGAATCAGGAGTGGGGGTTTTATGGAAAATCTCACCCTCCAAAAACCACGAGGAGCTGCCAGCACTGAGGGACCCTCAGCAGAAGCCCCTCACCACAGCTGATCCCTCCTCATCCTCTTCCTCCTCCTCCTCCTCCTCTCCCTGCTCTGCTGGCCTGGAGCATGATGTGGATCCTGATTTGCACCAGTGCCTGTCCAGGCTGACCAGCACCAGACCTCAGCGTGGGGACACAGCAGCAGCACTGCAGGCACACACAGGGGGCAGAGGACACCAGGACATGCCCGCCCTGCCCACTGCACTGTGGGCACTCACTGGTGAGCCTGGGGGTGTGGAAACACCGTGATGGGGCACACTGGGATGTGGGGAAGGGATCAACCTGGAGGGAAGGTGAGCCTGGGGATATGGAACCACCATGCTGGGTCACACTGGGGTGTGGGGAAGGGATCCACCTGGAGGGATTGTGAGCCTGGGGATGTGGAAACACCATGCTGGGGTATGGGGAAGGGATCAGCCTGGAGGGATGGTGAGCGTGGAAATGTGGAAACACCGTGCTGGGTCACTCTGGGGTGTGGGGAAGGATCCACCTGGAGGGATGGTGAGCCTGGAAATGTGCTGGGTCACACTGGGATGGATCCACCTGGAGGGATGGTGAGCCTGGGGATGTGCTGGGTCACACTGGGATGTGGGGAAGGGATTAACCTGGAGGGAAGGTGAGCCTGGAAATGTAGAAACACCATGCTGGGGTATGGGGAAGGGATCCACCTGGAGGGATGGTGAGCCTGGGGATGTGCTGGGTCACACTGGGATGGATCCACCTGGAGGGAAGGTGATTCTGGGGATGTGCTGGGTCACTCTGGGTCACACTGGGATGGATCCACCTGGAGGGATGGTGAGCCTGGAAATGTGGAAACACCATGCTGGGTCACACGGGGGCGTGGGGAAGGGATCAACCTGGAGGGATGGCGAGCCTGGGGATGTGCTGGGTCACACTGGGATGTGGGGAAGGATCCACCTGGAGGGAAGGTGAGCCTGAGGATGTGCTGGATCACACTGGGAAGTGGGGAAGGGATCAGCCTGGAGGGATGGTGAGCCTGGGGATGTGCTGGATCACACTGGGGGAAGGGACCCACCTGGAGGGATGGGGATGGCAGGTAGAGCCCACAGCAGTGGGCAGCTGGCCCGAGGAGGAGCTGATGGCCAGGGGAGAGGTGCTGGGAAGGGACAGTGTGTTTATTATGGAGGCGCAGCTGAAGCGGGTCCTTTGCCAGTGGTCAAGTCTGAATCACAAACTCTGCATTGTTTCCGAGTGTGTTCAGCACATTTCCCTTCTCCCCCTCCCTTTCCCTTTCCTCTCCTCTCGCCCTTGCACAAAGCTGTCATTGTGCAGGGGACTTGGTGATGGCAGCGTTGTTATTTGGTCAGAAAAAAAAAAAAAAAAAGAAGAAAAAAAAAAGGAAAAAAAAAAAGAAAAGAAAGAAGTGGGGAGGGGGGGGGACCCAACAAGGTGAAGAGGTTTAAATCAGCTTAGCCCAAATGCCAATTAAAAACCAAAGAGGATTAGGCTTGTGATCAGCAGAATAGACAGTCATTGTACCCGGAGGAGGTTCCCCCTCCCCGGGCCCGGCGCGGCGGTGCCGCAGGTTTGGCTGGGGCCGGCACCGCGCTGCTCCCCCGGCAGGACGGGGCAGGGCAGGGGCTGCCCCCGAGCGGGGCTGGGGTGGGCACCCGGCAAAGCCCTCGGCGGGGCACGCTCAGGTTCCTGCTGCAAAGACCTTTCCTCGCATGTTTTAAGGACTCTTGTCCCGCCTTGAGTTCGGCTGAGCAAGGAGAGGTTTCAGCCTGAATCAGCTCTTGGGCTGGAGCATCCCTTGGCCAGGGGCTGCTGCAGGGTGCCTGGGGTGAGCTCCTGGCTGGGGCTCTGAGCTGGGGGTCCTCACCTTGCCAGACCCCCAGGTGCATCTCAGGTGCTTGTGCTGCCTGAGGGCTCTGTCCAGCTGGAGGAGCTTTGGTCAGACCTTTGCTCCCCAGCAGCCAGCACAACACCTTTGGCTGCAGGCCACGGTGACAAAATGCCAGGACCATCACACGAGGTGGACATGCAGAGAAGACTGGTTCTCTGTTCCATGGATGGAGATGTGATGTCAGTGTTTTCTGCCTGGTTTAGTGCTCTGCACTGCCCACTGACTGCTGCTTCCATGGGTTGAGGTGTCAGGTAGCCAGACCCCCTTGTAGCCCCCTCAGTGAGAGGAAGCCAGGCTGGGTGAGCTGTGTCTGGGGGATTGCTTGGACTCAGAGCCGTGTGGCTCACCCAGTTCTCTCCCAGTATGCTGATAAACTGGTAAAACTCCAGGAACAGGAAGATGCTCTGCACCAGGGTGGTAACAGGGGTCAGTCTCATTCCTGACTCTACTGACAGGGCAGTGAAGGCAAATCCCCTGCAGCCAGAATGACTACACTGGTGTGAAAAAGGTGTTGACAGAGCTGGAGTGTCCTGGTGCCACACTGGCTACTTAAAATGAGTCCTCACTTAGGTAGAAATTGTAATTCTAGACTAACTTTGAGGTTTTGTAAAGGAAAGTCACCAAATGTAATTCTAGACTAACTTTGAGGTTTTGTAAAGGAAAGTTACCAAGGGTAGGTGGGAGCCTGGCCAAGCAGGAGAGGTTTAAGGGGCATCAGCAGCAAACTCAGGTGGAGCTTGAGCACCTCCACATCTGAGTTCCCCTCTTTTACCCTGGCAGTTGGGGGTGCAAAGAGACCCCTGCACTCCTGTTCTGCCTCTTCTCAGTGGCTCTGCCAGGTGCATCCTTTCTGCTAATGGGGCCCAGCTCCTGGCTTGGTGGCTTTGGAGTTTGGTGGATCCCAGCTTTGCACAGGAGCCCAGGGATGGCTGCAGTGCAGCTGGTCCAGCTCCAACCATCTCCTGGAAGTCACTGAGCTGAGACTTTGCTGCTGACAGCTCCAGGTGCAAAACTCTCCCAGCCTTGAGAGTCAAAAGGGACTGAAAGGGCATTTTCCCTCGAGGGCAGAAGGAGAAACCCTCCTGCTTCTGCACCAGGAGCTGCTTCTCCCCGATCCTGGGCACGGCCAGCACTGCCTGAAGCACCGGAGTCGTGGTGCAACAGGCGACTGGTACTGAAAATAAAACAGCAGAAAAGCTGTGGAGCAAAGAAAACGTGCTTTGAGGGGACAGGGAAAGGTGAAGGGGATGCCGTGGGCTGCGAGATGCAGCTCCTCCACCTCCCCTCCTCAAAACCCTGGTGCCGCCGCCATCCCCATGCCCGGGGATGCCCAGCGAGCTGTGGGAGCGAGCGGGGGAAGAGGGGCAAGACCCGCGCTGCTTTTTTTTTGCAATTTTTTTTTTTTTTTGTGGCTGCCGTGTAATTTATGATATGAGAGAGAGAGAGAGGGAGCGAGAGCCATTGTCTGGACCCATCCTGTATTTTTCCGAGGGCTTTGCCTCTCTTCCCAGCCCCCCGCGGCGCTGCCGCTACTGTACGGTTGCTATGGGGCTGCTCCCCGTGCCGCCGCTATGCGGGCCAGGGCCGGGGAGGGCTGCCCGCATCGCCCGGACCCATCTGGAGCCCCGGGCCCGCTGCCGCAGCCCGGCGGCCCCGCTGACGTGCCGAGGGCCTGGGAATGGGGCTTTCGGCCCATCCAAGTTCACGGCCACCGGAGGCATTCAGCTGCTGGAGAAACAGGGGAGGGGGGAGTGGGCAGTGGGATCTGGGGCGTTTGGCTCCATTCTCCCTTCCCTTTCAGCGCCGGCAATGTCCTCGGTGCATACAGATCCCCCGTCCCTTTCTCCTCCTGACAAGTGCGCACATAAATAAATTACCCCACCGGGCGAGTGTGGAACAATCTGTCCCCTAAATTCTATTCATCGCCAGACAGGACTCATTATTCCCCCGATTAAAGCCGCTGGAGTAGCTTGCAAGGGTTACAGTTACTCTGTCAAACTGTAAATAAGACACTAAAAATAAAGGGCGCTGGCGAGGGAAGGGGGAAAGGGAAGCCAGACTAATGCCTGCTGCTAGGGAAACCGAATGAATCCCTAATGACGCCTGTGTACAAACTGCAAATAATGAAGGAAAAGTGACAAACAGACCTCAGCCAGGCTGTGGCGAGGTCTCCTCTCTGTGATGGCAGCGGGGACAAACTCACCCCTTCCTCCAGGGACAGCCAGCAGGAGAGCTGGACCCTCTCACAAACCCCTCTGAGCAGAGCATTTAAGCCCTTGTCCTTCTCTTCCAGGAAGGTTTAGCTCTTGTGGGTGTGTTTATTTTTTAGGCACAGAACCCACCTCTGCCTGAGCCCACATTTTGAGGTTTTAGAGAAAAAACTCCATTGCTTGTGGTCTCAGAGCAGCCCCCAAAGTTTAGTTTGTGCTCTGCTGTTCGAACAGCTCAAAGCTCTGACCTAGGACAGGGCTTAGGACCAGGGGGTTAAACCCATCCTTCTGCCCAGAGCCCTGAGGGATGCAGCCCTGGACCCTTCCCACCTGCAGCAAGGCATCACTGCCATGGCTGAGATGGAGATGCAGGGCTGAGCCCCAGGTCTGAGCAGCCTGGATCTGCTCCTGGGCCATGCCAGATCACAGGGGAGGATGTGTCCAGCCCTAGAAATCTCTTTGGATAAAACACAGTTCCTTCCTGGCTGGTCTCTTGCCAGCCAGCAAAGATAGAGATACTTGCCTTGCAGCAGATCCTTTTTCTCCTTTGATATCTTGGAGCTGAAGAAATGAGGCAAAAAAAAAAAAAAAAAGAAGAAGAAAAAAATCAGCTATAGGCTTGTTGTGGGTGTTTCTCAGTTCCAGAGGGACTGAAATGTGAGAGTTTTATTTCAGGTCCTGCTTGAACTATTCCCACCACCCTCACTGGGTGAAATGCTGGAATTCTCTGTGTTGCTCAGGGAAATATTTTGACTCACGTCCCCCAAGCCTGTAAAGGAGAAAAGACAGCTCTGAGCTGTGTCTCTCCAGGTGGATTCTTGCTGTCCAAAGGAGAGCACTGAGAAGGGAAGGTCCTGGTAGGGCTGTGCAGTCCTTGGGACCCAGAGCAGACCAGGCTGGACCCTGAGCCCTCATCCCCCAGATCTGTGTGGATGCCTCAGTGCTCTCCATCCTCCTCCAGAGCCCAGCAGTGCTGGGGCCTCTCTGGAGCCTGATCTGCACCAAGCAAGGGCACAGCCAAGAGCAGGGGGAGCAGCAGGTGCTGATGGTCCCTGCCCTGTGGGTGCTGTTCAGCAGGGAACCCACCTGTTCTCAGAATTGCAAGGGGCCTCATGCAGGCAGAGGGGTTTTTGGAGACTTGTTATGCTTCTACAAGGCTCAGACATCTTAAAAGGGATTTTTTCAGGCCAGCTGAGCTAGTCTGGAGCCCAGTTGCATTTCCCAGTCAGGTCAAACCAAGGTTTAGCAGATTTCTTTCCTTTCAGTCTTAGGGGAAACAAACCCTTTTCACCCACCATTCCTGCCTGTGAGGCCCCATGACTCCAAAGCAGCATTCCTGGGACATTCCTGGTGCCATGGTATGTGCAGAATTTCAAACAGAGCCTCATGGCTCCACATCTCCATGCGCTCTCCCTGCTGGACTCTGTTATTTGGATGGAGCAGGAGATTCATGATTGCCATTGGTAATAATTTCATAATTGGCATTGCCATTGCCCATGGTGGTGTCTGGGCAGCTCCTACAGCCCCAGGTGGGTGTGTGCAGGTGCTGATGAAGGAAGAGCTGTGCTCCTGTCTCTCCCCTGCAACATTTGCCAGCTTAGCTGGATAAAACAGCAATTTGCTAAAAGCCTCATGACCAGCCAGACCTGAGCAAGTCAAACCCATCCCTGGGCTGTCCTGGTGCTCTCCATGGAAATTGGGCAGCTCTTCACCACCCCTGCCTCCTGGAGTTTGTCTTTAGGAGAGTTTTGGCTTAGGGAACCTCATGGTACCCTGAGAGGGAGCTTTGGGGTTTTGTTCCCTACCAGGAAAGTGTTTGCTGGCAGGCTCAGGTGCTGGGAGCAGCATCAGGGCCAGGGATGCAATTTGGAATACACAGATCTGCTTGAGACCACACCAGAAATGGCAAAAAGGAACTTACTTGCCTTTCCCCACCTGAACCTCTTGGGTCACATTTTCCAAGGTTTCTCTCAACCTGTAAAAATAGGATTATCACCACTTTTTCATGGAATCTGTGATTCCCCTCCACGTGAATCACCCAGAAACTTGAGCCATGGTGTTTGAGGAGACTGGGGGTTGTTGGCCATTGAGCAAAGCACATCCAGCCAGGTTTGCCCTGGACAGATGAGGACAATCAGGGAGTGCTCCATTCTACATCTCTTCATAGCAGTTCTGAGAAGACCCCATGCCTCCTTTCATTCCCTTAGGACACCTGACTGTGCTTTTCCACCCATCCACGGCTGTCACCTGGATGTGTCCATGAACCAGGAGCTGCCAGCTCGCTCTTGGACCTCCAAACCCGGCTCAGCAAGGTCCAAAGGGCCCTGTTCCAGCCACACCCCTGCCAGCTCCCTTTCCTTTTCAAGGATTAGGATGAGGCAAATTCCTCCAGTCTGCTTTAATCCTCAATACCTGATCCTGCAGGAGGCACACACACACATCTCAGTAATAGCCAGGTAACTCGCAGGGCTAAATCACTCTGGGTTTTTTTTCATTATAACCTCCCTTTAAAGCACATTTAAATGCTTCCCTGTAGGCTCATGTGAGGGCTGTTAAGGGCTTCATTTGAATAAATAAGGGCACAGGTAGAGGAGGAACATCACCACAGCCCCTGGATAGCCAGGGCCAGCCATGGCAGCAGTGGGCTGGCGAGTGGCAAAGGGCCTCCATGTTATATATTCCATAAAGTAGAGTAATTAAGTATTACTAGTTTTGATGACTTCAAACAGAGTGACTCCAGGAAATAAGCCCCTTCTTTATAATTAGTGGGATTTCCTCTGCATCAAACGGAGAGATTGATTCTTTAATCTGCTCACATGCTTTTGATTTGGTCTTTCAGCTGCTTGTACCAACTGCTTCTACTCCCTGCTCTTGCCGATAAAACCTTGCAAAGGAGATTTTAGGAAGGCATGACCTGAGTTGAGGTCCAGGATTTTCTTTGTGTGTGGCTGTTTTGTGAATTCCTAATTTGCCAGAGATGATGATCATGATGATAACAAGAATAAAAAAACAGCACAGGCATGGCTTTTAAACATCCACCTATGTTTAGGTCAAATAATTGCGGTTTGGGGTTTTGTTTATTGTCTTCTCAGCACACCTCTCAGTTCTGCCTCATGCTCTTTGACACCTGAAAAGGTAATTTTGGCTTCCCATCTGCAGGTTGGGCTCACTGCATAATGCTGCTCTTTAAGAGCACACCCCCCTACCACCAGGTGTGCTGGCATCCCAAGGGCTCCACTGCTGGACATGTGCAGAGTGTCTTTGGGTATTTCAGGGGTTGGACCTGATTTAGAGCTAAACCCAGGAATTTGGGAAGCTCTGTCTGAAATCAAACAGTTTGTGGCTGCCCCATCCCTGGGAGTGTCCAAGGCCAGGTTGGACAGGGCTCATGGCAGGGGATAAATGAGATGAGCTTTAAGGCCCCTTCCAATCCAAACCATTCCACAATTCCATGAAAATCCCTGCAAAAGTTGCTGGTTTCTACATGAAAAGTTCACGAGAGAGTGGGAACTTGCCCCCTGCAAGTGCAAGAAGCTGCTGGTGAGCACCCAGCTCCTTCCTGGGCATCTCCATGGGGTCAGTGGTGCTGCATCAGTCGTGTGGGAAATGTGGGCTGGGGTCTGTGCTGGTTCCAGGCATGCACTAAACCTCCCAAGTACTTCTCCCACCTCCAAAGCAGCTCAGACCTTGAATCATCTCAGCAAACAGCCCCTGGCTGGGTTTTCTTCTGGCATGTGAGGTTCTTCTGAGGAGATTAAAAAGGGGGGAAAATTTGGAATATCCTGCTTTCCGTCCACCTTTGGATGCTGTTGGAAATGTGGAGGATGAGCAAGAGAGGCTGGTGGGCCTCGTGTGCATCGCAGGGGGTGAGAATGAGAGGAGAATGAGAGGAGAATGGCTCCATTTTGGCAGCTGCAGGGCAGGGACTGGCACCACAATCGAGGCGGGAAGGGCAAGCGGGGCTGTGCCAGCCCTGGCAGGTGGCACCAGCCTGCAGGGAGGAGCTGTGGGCAGGGGATGGATCCTCCTGGGCTCACCTGGAGCAGGAGCAGGAGCAGGAATGCTGGAGCAGTGGTTGGTATGCCCTGCACAAGCCTCCCCGCGTCGGGAGCGGTGTCGAACACAGATCGTATAATTAGGGAGCCAGTGAATACGTAACTGTACATTATGCAAATAGTGATCAAAATCACTGTTTTCAGCAGAAATGCCTGAAGATCAAGACAGAAGCTTCATGCAACCTTAATTTAATCTGGTCCTGCAGGAGTGGGGAGGTCTGATGGATGACCCAACCTTGTGCCTGCCCGTGTTTAGCAAGGCTGGGGTGGGAGGCGGGGGGAGGAGTGCTGGAGCATGCTAAGCGAGGGGGAAATGGCACTGAAATCATGTTAGCAAACAGGGAAAAAGGGCAGAAAGAGCTGATGCTTACAGTAATTTTATTTTTCTTTGAATTTCAGGTGAAGCGCATAAGGCTGGAAGAATGGGAAAAATTAAAAAGAAAAAAAAAAAGAAGAAAAGAAAGAAAAAGAGTCTCCAACCCCAGGAAATCTGTGTTAATTGCTTATGAATGTCTCTGTCTAAAAAATTATCGAATTGATGTTGTCGTGCTTTTTTTTGACAGCCTGTCTGTTACATTTTTTTAAAATATTCATGCACCGAAATCTAATTACTAGGCAAATTTAATGATAATGAAATGAAGGCACTTTAGCAGAAAGCACAGGGCCTTGTTAATGTTTTCTCAGCCTCTGTCTTGTTCATATTTTTAAAATTATTTTTTTTACAACTGCCTTTCTTGCATATGAGAAAAAAAAAAAAAAGATTGCTGAAAATAAAACTCAGATTGCCGATAATGTTTGTGGTGGTTCTGTTTGTAATGATGGGGAATTTGCAAGGTGATTAAAGGTGTTTTGCAAAAATCAAATGAGCCTAACCTAATCAGATAAGGCAGATGAAATATTATTATTAGAGGGGTAACATTAGGAGCATGCCTGGAGGCTTTAACAGAGATGAGGCTTTAACAAAGTGCACCATGCAGGGCCAACCACAGCCTTGCCATCCTCAGGGCCCCTCCAGCCCCTTTCCAGGGCACAGGACTTGTCTGTGCTCTCCTTAGGCCAGGCCTGGGTGGTTGGAGGATGCCCATGACGGTTGGAGGATGGATGTGATGGTTGGAGGATGGATGTGGTGGTTGCAGGATGGATGTGATGGTTGGAGGATGGATGTGGTGGTTGCAGGATGGATGTGATGGTTGGAGGATGGATGTGGTGGTTGCAGGATGGATGTGATGGTTGGAGGATGCCCATGATGGTTGGAGGATGGATGTGATGGAGGATGAATGGCAAGGCTGTTGTTGGATGTGATGGTTGGAGGATGCCCATGATGGTTGCAGGATGGATGTGATGGTTGGAGGATGCCCATGATGGTTGCAGGATGGATGTGATGGTTGGAGGATGCCCACGATGGTTGCAGGATGGATGTGATGGTTGGAGGATGCACACAATGGTTGCAGAACACAAGTGATGGTTGGAGGATGGATGTGGTGGTTGCAGGATGGATGTGATGGTTGGAGGATGCTCATGATGGTTAGAGGGTGCATGTGATGGTTGCAGGGTGTATGTGATGATTGGAGGATGGATGTGGTGGTTGCAGGATGCTGCTGATGGTTGGAGGATGCACACGGTGGTGGGAGGGTGGATGTGATGGTTGCAGGATGCCCATGATAGTTGCAGGACACATGTGATGGTTGCAGGACACATGTGATGATTGCAGGATGTATGTGATGGTTGCAGGACACATGTGATGGTTGGAGGATGGTTGTGATTGATGGGGAATGCAGGTGATGGATGGAGTGTGCAGGCCATGGTGAGCATCCATGCTATGGTGGGTGTCCATGGTGAGCATCCATGCTATGGTGGGTGTCCATGGTGGGTGTCCATGCCATGGTGGGTGCCCATGGTGGGTGTCCATGCCATGGTGGGTGTCCATGCTGTGGTTTGAAGAGGTTTTTCCATGGTTGTCCATGCTGTGGTGGGTCTCCAGGCCATGGTTTGTGTTCATGCCATGGTGGATGTCCATGCTGTGGTGGGTGTCCATGGTGGGTGTCCATGGTGGATATCCATGCCGTGGTGGGTCTCCAGGCCATGGTGGGTCTCCATATCCTGGTGGGTCTCCAAGCCATGGTGGGTGTCCAGGCCATGGTTTGTGTTCATGCCATGGTGGATGTCCATGCTGTGGTGGGTCTCCATGCCCTGGTGGGTGTCCATGCCATGGTGGATGTCCATGCTGTGGTGGGTGTCCATGGTGAGTGTCCATGCTGTGGTGGGTCTCCATGCCATGGTGGGTCTCCATGCCATGGTGGGTCTCCAGGCCATGGTTTGTGTTCATACCATGGTGGGTCTCCAGGCCATGGTTTGTGTTCATGCCATGGTGGGTGTCCATGGTGGGTCTCCATGCCCTGGTGGGTCTCCATGCCATGGTGGGTCTCCAGGCCCTGGTGGGTCTCCATGCCATGGTGGGTCTCCATGCCCTGGTGGGTCTCCATGCCATGGTGGGTCTCCAGGCCCTGGTGGGTCTCCAGGCCCTGGTGGGTCTCCATGCCATGGTGGGTCTCCATGCCATGGTGGGTCTCCAGACCATGGTGGGTGCCCATGCCGTAGTCTGTCCTGCCCTGCAGCTCTGCCCCTGCTATTTGTATGACCTAAAGGCTCTGGCTGATGTTGATGACGGTGTCAAAGGTTTTACTGAGGGTGCTGCTGGCCCCAATCATTTCTGTAGGATTTCCACTTCTGGAAGACCATCAGGAAATTCCTTTTGCTGTGGCTGGGGTGGTCACCACTTGGAGGAGGTGGTGTGGTGGGATGTGCCAGCTGGGCTTGTTGGCTGCCCCGTGGTGGGTGGCTGGAGGCCAAGCTCACACCTTGGCCTCCCCAGCACAAAGGGAGGGGTCTCTGTGGTCCTCGTTCCTGTAGGAATGAGGTGTGTGGGAATTCAGAAGTTTGCAGCCCTGGCTGTGAACGTGGCTGGTCAGAAGAGGTTTTTCCTCCCTAGAAACACTGCCCTGCATCCTGGGCTCACCAGTGGCAGCTCAGGGGGTTGGAGCAGCTCTGGCAGGTCTTGAGGGAGCACCAGGACAGGGCAGGATGTGTTTTGGACCTCCTTTGATTCTCCAACTCCCTCAGCAAGGGCAAGGCTCCCTGCCCAGCCCTCCTGTGCTGCAGCCCAGATTTCCCCAATGTGGCAAATCTCCTGGAAGTAGCTCCCAGACCACTTTAATCCCCTTAATCCTTCCTGCAGCCCTTCCCTGCTGGTGCTCAGGCACTGAAAGGCTCCTGACACATCTCTCAAGTGCTGCAGCTGGCTGAGGAGGGATCCCAGCTCCTCAGAGTCAGGGGACCAGCCCTGCCTCCCTTTTGTGCCTCTGGTTTCCACTCCTCCTGCTGCAAAGCCTTGGGCACTTGTAGGTCTGAGTGGAGGGCAGGGAGAGCTTCCTGACTGCTCCCAAACCTGCCACACACATTTGGGGTCTGGATTTCCAGCCTTGCGGCAAGGAATTCTCCCTTTGCACTCAAGCCCTTTGCAAAAGATTTGGCTCCCTTCTCTCCCCCAGCTCCCACCATCAGATCTGTGCTTCCCCCTGCCCTGAGGAGGTGGCAGGAGCAGTTCAGTGACACAGGGAGGGCTTGCAGACTCTGCCATGGGGACCCCATGAGTGCTTTTCCCTCCCTTTTCTGTGCTTCTCCACCTTGTGTCTCCTGGCGTGCTTCACGTGGTTTTTCTCTGACCTTCAGCTCATCTCATGGGGAGAAGAGCAATCCCTGGGTTCTCTGCATGGAACCATGGAATGGTGTGGGTTGGAAGATGCCTTAAAACCCTCATCTCATTGTTCCACTGTCCCAAACTGCTCCAATCCCCATCCAACCAGGCCTTGGACACTTCCAGAGATGGCACAGCCTTCTCTGGGCAACCTGTGCCAGGGCTCCACCAGCCTCGTTGTAAAAACCTCCTTCCTTATAGCAAATATAAAGCCCTTGACTATAAATATAAATATAAATATAAATATAAATATAAATATAAATATAAATATAAATATAAATATAAATATAAATATAAATATAAATATAAATATAAAGTTCTTCTGATATGTGGGAGGCTGTTTCATGCTCAGCTGTCCTGAACAAAAGCCTGAGTGGACTCAGGGGTGCTCCCAGGCTTGCACACACACACACACAGAGCTCCCGAGCTGCATTTATCCTCCAAAGTGACAGTTTTCTATTAGAGAGCTGCAGCCCAGCACGATGATTATAATTGTCACTAATTTCTTTCTTTAGCAATCAGGTTTGTACCTTGACACTGTGGCATAAAATGAGGCAGATTCCCCCCGTTCCAGGCTGGCTCTCGAAATGTTTGTAGCCCCCTGATTTCCTTCAGGGAAGCTGCTGCTGATGCCAACTTTTGGTCGATGGTGGGAGAGGGGACAATATTAATAAAAATATGGGCAAGGGCTGGGGATGCCTCATGCAAACCCCTTCTGTGGGGGCAGTCACCCTCAGGAGCAGACAAATCCCAAACCCACCCCAGAGAAGGCTGGATTTGGGAATGGAAGGCTCTTCCCTGCCTTTGCTTTGGGCTGGAGCATCCCAGGACCAGCAGGGCTCTGTGTGGATGTCCCTTCCCTGGGCAGACCTTCCCTCTGGTGCCCTTGGCAAGAACCTTCTGCTGGTCAGGCTCTTCCCAATAAACTCATTTAATGAGTGGAAGTGGGATGGGATGGGATGGGATGGGATGGGATGGGATGGGATGGGATGGGATGGGAAAGGGGATGGGATGGGATGGGATGGGATGGGATGGGATGGGATGGGATGGGATGGGATGGGATGGGATGGGATGGGGTGAGATGGGATGGGATGGGATGGGATGGGATGGGATGGGATGGGATGGGATGGGATGGGAAAGGGGATGAGATGGGATGGGATGAGATGGGATGGGATGGGATGGGATGGGATGGGATGGGATGGGGTGAGATGGGATGGGATGGGATGGGATGGGACGGGGTGGGATGGGATGGGATGGGATGGGGTGGGATGGGATGGGATGGGATGGGATGGGATGGGATGGGATGGGATGGGAAAGGGGATGGGATGGGATGGGATGGGATGGGATGGGATGGGATGGGATGGGATGGGGTGAGATGGGATGGGATGGGATGGGATGGGATGGGATGGGATGGGATGGGATGGGATGGGATGGGAAAGGGGATGGGATGGGATGGGATGAGATGGGATGGGATGGGATGGGATGGGATGGGATGGGATGGGATGGGATGGGATGGGATGGGATGGGATGGCAGGAGGGCAAGGTGGGATGAGTGAGAAGTGGCTGTGAAACTTGTGAGGGTTCAGAGAGGGGTGTGAGATGTGCTCCTGCATTGCTCCTGCATTTCTATCAGGGTCACCAGAGGAGAATTTGGCCCTCTTATTTATCTATTTATCTATTTATCTATTTATCTATTTATCTATTTATTTTTTAGCTTAAGCCTCTGAAGAGAGTGTTGCAGAGATTCCCAGGGGGTATTGGCTGGCAGAGCTCCCATGATACCCTCCAAAATATCCCCCCCACCAAAACAGAAATAACTCAGTAAAACAAAGCAACGGATTGTTCAGCCAACTAAAATTAACAGCATGTCAAATAAAATATGTACAGCATTAAAATAAAATTTGCATCGCAATAATGCTTTATTAAGCACATTAGGAGATTAAAAGAATCAACCCATTTGTTCCCATTCACGTTGCGTCAGGATTTGCATTTCTTTTTTTCCCCACCTCCAGCTCGCCCCTCTCCCCTCGCTTGTTTG